TAAATGTATAAAGTTTAATGATTTTTAATGTTGCAAATTTTTTTGATGTCAATCTCAAAATCAATCATGTTTATATATTTTAAAGTTTCTTTATTTCTTTTTTTGATAAATAATAAATTTATCCTTTGTTTATTTATTTTAGTAGATTCAAATAGATTTTATTAAATCAAATGGTACACTACAGCAAAGTTTAAGAGTACCCAAGTGTATCAATTACACAAAAACACACTATTAAGTTAATTTATTACAAAATCACTTTTAAAGTACAGCGAATTCTTGTTCCTTATATACATGTTTAATTAATTAATGTCCCAGTCTGGGCAAATTGTCCCATTTGGGATTATTGCCATTAATTCCTTCCAAATAAATAATATGAAATATCAAAATAATTTAATAAATATACGGCATGTAACACAAATACAGATATTTTAATATACTGTATATAAACAAGTTTTTAAACGAAAACGTGACAGTGAGCTTCGTGCCTTTTACGCACACAACGACATCACTCAGGTCAAGGCTAGTCTATTTTATTAATTCAAAAAAATATAAATAGGATGGCCGTCCTCACATTTTTGTTTTGTTTTTTTCATAGAGAAATTCCTCTCAAGCAAGGATGTAAGACATTTGATTATAAATTTTATTTTTTTACTATGTAAAATTCGAATTTTACTATCATCTACTATTACTATAGATCAGTAATTTTTTTCAATTGCTTTTTTTTTAATGTAAATATGTAATAAATGGATCACAGCATAAGATTATAAATAACAATATTCTTATTTTTTTCCTTTTTAAATATATATACCAATAATAATCACTCTTAATTCTATCCAATTAAATTCAATTAAAAATTCGAATATATTTGTAAAACTAAAGATAATATACATATATATAAGAAAGGTTCATAGTTTTTTATGCAAACAATTTCCTTATTTGTATTTCTTTAGTCAAGATTGACAAGTTTTTTCATAACGAACTGAACACAGACCTTTCCATCCAAACTTAACTTAATGTTAAAAAAAAAAGTGAAAGTTATGTTGTACCACATTTAATTAATAAAGGCATTCTTAGTAGTTTGCATCCTATAATTAATTTTTGTATTTCTGGTGATGATAGGAATGTAGGTCATAAGATAAAACATGTAATGATAACAACAGCAATATTAGATGATAAAGAACATTTATCATACCCTGATTATCATTACGCAGTAATTCTGTATCTGAGTACTGAAAATTATTTTAGCAGAATTACATGACATAAAAAAAAATGGAATGGTTATTGAAGATGTACATTGGAGCTTTGAGTTGTATTTAAGGGGACACATGAAAAGGACGGGCAGGGACGACCAGGTGTAGCCTCCGTCCTTTTCATGTGTCCCGAATTATTTATTTATTTCCGAATTATTTGAATCATTTTGTTTATTAGTTTTATTCAGACTATTTGATTTATTTGTTTTATTACGAATTATTTTGTTTTATTTCGAATTATTCGTTAATCGAATTAATCGTTTTATTTAAACTTTTCGAATTATTCATTTATTCATTTTATTCAAACTATCGAATTATTCGTTATTCAATTGATTCGAATATAAACCTTATTCGAATAAAAACCCCAATCAAGCAGTGTAGTTGTATATAGTGTTTTTAGTTTAGTTTAAACATTATTGGCCATGTGTCAGGTAGAACATCTAAAAAAAACATTTTTTGGGTTGTAAATTTTGTTTTTATCAAATAAATTTGTTTGATTTTTTCATATATCATTCATGTTTTGTCTTAACCGTATGGTTGTGTAATCATTTTGTCAACATTCATTATATTAAGGTTATTTGATTATATTGAGAGATATGGTTAAGAGAAGAGTTAGGAAGAGAGTTATTCTTCAACCAAGTTGAAAACCAACCCTTTAAATACATTTTCGACTACGGTGCAGATCATCTATAATCATTAATTGCTTATAGTAACAATTGGTCAACTTCAAAATACTAAAACAAAAAA